CCAGCCTCGGCCTCCTGTCCAGTACTTACCACTGCACAGGCTCACAGGGAAACAACACAGGCCCTTTCAGATTTCCGGCAGACAGGACAACCTAGGAGCCTGAGACACCAAGCAGGGGCCAAGTCTGAATTTTATACCATTGCATGGTGAGCTCCTTGGAGTGCCTGACCAGAGCAAGAGCAAAACTTGCTTGTGGGAATAATTTCCAACCCAGGCTGCAGGGAAATCCTTCAACACTGCTGAGCACTTACTATGTGCCAGGCACTAGGCAACCTGCAGAGACAGCAGTCATCCTTGCTCCCACGGTGTTCACCATGGAATGGTGGGCGAAGGTGGAGGAAAGAAAAAGCAGAATCTCAGCACTCTGGGAGGCTGAGGCAGGAGGGTCACAAGTTCCAGCCCAGCCTAGGCAACTTAGTGACTGGAAGAATTCTGGAAGAATCAGCCCTTCTGATGCCATGATTTTAGCCTGAAAGACTCATTTGTGTTCTCTGACACAGACCTACAAGGCAACTTAGTGACTTAGAAAGACCCTGTCTTTAAAAAAATATTTTTTACAATGGGCTGGGGATGTAGTTTAGTGTGAACCTCAGGTTCAATCTCCAGTACTGCAAATAATAACAATAATAAATGAAAAAGCAATGAACAAGAACAAGGTTAGCTAGTGTACAGTTGGCCCTCCATATGCGCAGGTTCCCCTTCTGCAGAGTCAAGCAACCATAGGTCAAAAATATGTTTTACAAAAATTGTGTCTGTACTGAGTATATACAGGCTTTTTTCTCATTATTCCCTACTCAGTAGAGTATAACAACTATATACTTGGCATTTACACTGTATTAAGTATTGTAATGTATATGTACTAGAGATGTATATGTATATGTACTAGAGATGGTTTACAGTATATAGAAGGATATGGGGGCTGGGGATACAGCTCAGCAGCACAGCACCTGCCTGGCAAGCACAAGGTCCTGAGTTCGATTCCTGGTTAAAAAAAAAAAAAAAAAAAACCTAGGATATGTATAGGTTACACATTTTATACAGGGCTTTGTGGATCTGGAGGGTTTGTTGTCAGAGAGGGATCCTAACACCAATCCCACGCTGACACTGAAGGATGACTGTATTAGTTCCTCGCTGGTGCTATAATAAATTACCACAAATTTAATGGCTTCAAACACACATGTGTATTCTCTTGTAGGTCTGCATCAGAGGATACAAATGAGTCTTCCAGGCTAAAATCATGGTATCAGCAGGGCTGTTTCTTCCAGGAGCTCTGAGAGACAAGTCCATTCCCTCACCTTTTCCAGCTTCTTGTAGCTGTTGCTGCCTGCATCCCTTGGCTTATAGCCCCTTCCTCTGTCATGAAGGGGTATTACTTCCATCTTAGCTTCTGCTCTTATTTCAGCTTCTCCTTTGGGTTTACCTGTGTCCTCCTTAGAAGGGCCTTCATGATTTATCAGTCTCACCAGGTACTCCGGGATCATCTTCTTCTCTCAAAATCCTGGACTTGTTCACTTCTGCATAGATCCTCTGCAAAGGTTAGGAAGTAACATCCACAGGTTCCAAGACCTAGAACAGGGACATTTTGGGGAGCCACAACCCAGTCTACTGCCATCGGCATCAACACCCTTGGAATGAACAGTGAATGCTCAGATAGAGAAATGCCACCCTGAAACAGTTCTTCAGGCTGAGATCAAGGAAGCCTTCTGAGACACATCTAGGCTAAAGTCCAAATGACAGGCAAGAGCTGCAGGGCGGGGCAGAGAACACTTCAGGCTGAGAAGAGCCTATAGCAGAAATGAGCTTGGCATGCAGGAGAAGTGAGTGTGTAACTTCTCCATTCCCAATAGCTTTTCCAGAATAAGAAAAAAAATTTTTTTCAGTACTGGTGATTCAGTACAAAGCCTTCACATAAGCTATATTCCCAGCCCTAAAAAAATTTTTTTTCTTTTGATTAGACAAGATCTGACTAAGTCACTAAATTCCCCAGGCATGGCTGGAACTTGGGATCCACCTGTTTTATCTTCCTAAAGTGCTGAGATTACAGGCACTGGTGCCTGGCCAAAACAAGAAAACTTTTTTATTTATTTTATCTGGCGTTTTTTGAGACAGGGTCTTGTTATGTAGTTCAAGCTGGCCTCAAACTCTCAGCCATCCTCCTGCCTCAGCCTCCTGAGTGCTGGGATTACACGTGTGTGCCATCACACCCAGCAGAATAAGGCAACTTTAAGCCCCATCCTGTCTCCTGAAATGTTTATGGGAACACACACACACACACACACACACACCCCAACTATTCTCAGCAGGGACCTCTTTTCTCACAAAACCTGGTGGAATTCACAGAACAACCCCAGAGTCCACATGGAGGCTGAGCAGCTACCTAGTAAATTCAAAAATTTTTCACAAACCCCCAAACAAGAGCTTGTTTTGATTGTGGCTTTCAAGTGTTTATTGACATTGTCACTTACAACTGCATCTTACAAACCATGTTAACGTAAACACCATATTGTATTTGGTTATTTCAGTTGATGCACGAGCTTAAAAGGGTGTGGGGCAGAGGCTGCCTGCCCCTGGAAAGGTGTGTTGCTGAGTTAGAAGCCACCAGCTGTTCTTCCGGTGGCTCCAGGGCTTTTTCTTAGCAAGTGCTGAGCTCTTGAACAACACAATGGTGGCTGATCCCTCACCTTCCCCTGAGTCATTGTCTCCTATTGATTCACTTTCCTCAGCTCTCAGCACAGTAAAGTCCAAGAAAAACAGACCGTGGGCTCTCAGGTTTGCAAGCAATCAACAAACATACTTCAAGAGTCTAATACAGTTGAGTGTGTGCCCTCCCACCGTTTTACCTGTGGCAGATTGACTGTCCCTCTAGTCCAGCTTTCGTTTCCATCCTCCTTAAATTCTGTATATGCATTAAAGGGTGAATCAAGCCCTGTTCATTCTGCACCGGGAGAGCTCCTAAAAGAGCACCTGGCACAGAGCAAATGATACGTATTTACTTGTCCTTTTGTTCAACAAAGACCTCCCAGGCACCTCTGTGTGTAGCCCTGAGTATATTTAATGCCAGGGCCGATTAAGAATCAATGATTCTCAAAGGCTTTTAAGGCCCATGGTGATCATAACTAGGAAGTGATTTCCATAAAGGAGAGTTATATGTGACCAAGAAGATTTGCATACAATTATGAACCTGGTCCTTCGATCAGATTCCACCCTCAGCGATCAAATTGAGCCACCTGAGATACTCACTGGTTTATGGTGCTTGTTAATCCATCTCCTCTGGCTCTGAACCACACTACCCAGCTGCGGGGTGTTAAAGGTTAAGCCCCACTGCCTCTCCAGCTCCTCGGATGACTGCCCGGCAGCAGAGGGTGAAACGACCTCATTTATCTGGAGGCACAGAGGGACGTTCTAAGACAAAAGGTGATCTATAAAGAGAAGGCTGTGACTCTCGAGCTTAAATAAAAACCAAGAGACACACACGAAAAGCCCAGTATGTAATGGCAGAAATTATAAGGTCATGCATGCATCCCACACATGGCAAATGAAACCCAGTTGCCAAATCTTAGGAGCCAAATACTGGAAATCTGCTCGGGAAGAAGGCAGCTCCTACTGTCTGAAACTTAGAGATGGTGGGTTACTTCCCCTAACATCCAAGAACACATCACAGTTTGATTCTCAAACATAATATGTTTTATGGCTTGCAAAACCCGATAAGACGCCTTAGAGTCCAACTGGTTGTGTCTGTTCTAAGTCCAGAGGCATCTCATACTTTCAGTGTTTCCATCTGAGCTACACAGTGCCTTCTTTGTGTGAATTTCCTAGTGAACTTTATCCTGGGAGCAATTTAGAAGTCTCATACCCTAAACGCCATAAACGACGCAATTGTATTCGACTGTACCTAGATAGACGTTCTCAAAAATCAGAATAAGACCTCTCACCCTCGTGAGTGGGTGGAAGTCTCAGATGCCAAGGGAAGTTCCAGTTAGAGGCTGTTCTGGGTCTCTCCCAGCCCTAAGTGCACACTCTGAATGGGAGGGGCAGAGGTGGCAGCTGCCTCACCCCTGGGCAGGGCTGCACTGGGATGGAGACAGAACAGGGTGACCCAAGAGCTACACACCTGTGCAGATTGCCAGGTGAAAGGAAGAGAGATTTCCCTAACACCTCGGCTCACCATAACTTCCCCCCACCCCTCAGTACTGGGACTTGAGCTACATTCCCAGGCCTTTTAAAAATATTTTTCACTGGCCGGGGATATAGCTCAGCGGTACAAGCACCTGCCTGGCAAGCGCAATGCCGCGAGTTTGGTTCCCGGTACCAAAACACAAAAACAAAAATATATATATACTTTTCACGAAGTCCGCTAAGTTGCCCAGACTGGGCTCCAACTTGCAATCCTTCTGCCTCAGCCTCCCACAGCTCTGGGATTATAAGTATGTGCCACCGCTCCTGGCTCACCATACTTTTCTAAATCCTCTAAGGATTTTTGATTAGCACAGGTATATACCATTGAATTTAAGGTCGTTCTTAAGGTAAAGGTTAAAAATGTACTGAAACTTCAGTAATCAGACCCTGGCGTTTACTTTCTTGGTACCAGGAGGATTCAAAACTGCAGGTGGCTACCGTGCTTCTTTTATCTATGAATTGCCATGGGGGGCGCAGGGGTCCCTGAGATCTATGGGATCAGCGAGGGGTGGGTGGGAGGAATCAATCAGGGAAATTAATACATGGAAAAGACATGGACTCTCCTTTCTGCGGTCGCCTAAAGTCAGGGCTTGGGGAAAGTGCCCGAAGAGAGCGTGGATTTAGGACTTCCTGCGCCATTGCCAAGCGGGACACCCAAGTCTTGTACTCCAGGGGTCTGTCTTGGGTCTGGGTGTCACCCGGCGCTCTGCGTGGTCCGCGAGAGGGCGCGCTGTGGCCTCCCCGCCCGCCTCAGGTGGGTGGCCCCGCCCACTTGGCCCCGCCCGCCCCCGCCCCGCCCAACCTGGCCGCCTCAGCGAGGACTGCCCCTCCCCGGCCCGGCCCCGCCCACAGGCGGTTCGGCCCCGCCCATTCGGCGGGACTGGTCTCCTCCCCGCCACTCTGGTTGCCGCCGTCCCGTCTCGGCCCCGCCCGTGCGGATGTCGGCCCCGCCCACCCTGCCGTCCCAGGTGGGGCGGCCCCGCCCACCAGCCCTCCGCCGCGCCCTCTCCGCGGGGCTCAGGTGGGGCTCCCGGCCCGCCCCGCTCGGCCCGCCGCGTCAGGCCGCTTCGTCTGGGCTCCTCGCGGGCGGTGGGACCGCAAGTTTTAGCATTTTGTCAGCAGGGCCCCGCGCGAGTCTCTGGGGCCGACGGCTGACCCTCGAGGGCCCCTCTCCACTCGCGCCCCGGCGCTCCCGCCGCCCCCGGCCGGGCAGCCACGAGGCCCCGCAGCGTCCTCCCGCGCGCGCCCGCCCGCCCGGCGGCTGCAGCCATGTCGCGGGGGCCGGAGGAGGTGAACCGGCTCACGGAGAGCACCTACCGCGTAAGCGGGGCGGGGGCGGGACCCTACGCGCGGGGGTTCGAGGTCCAGGCGGGGAGGGAGGCTGGGGGGCCCGGGCCGTCGGGGCGCTGGAGTTCGGGGTTCGAGGCGCGCAGGAGAGAATTGAGGGGGCTCCGGGAGCCTGGGGGCGCCGGGGTGCGAGGCCGACTGGGGAGGCGGGGGACACCTGGGTTCGGAGTTCGCTTCCGTGAAGGGGGATCCTCGCCCGCAGCTTGCAGCTGTCGCCAGCGGGAGGTCTGGAGTTTTCACTTTGGGGGTCAGGAGGGGACTCTGTGCGGGAAGATTCTCCCCTTCCCCTCCCCACTCCTCCTCCTCCTCCGGTCGCCGGAGACGCCCGAAAAACTGGAATTTATTTAGGGAGTTGAACTTGATAGAGCCTTTGCACTGAGCTATATCCCCATCTCTTTTTAAAAGTTTTTTTTGTATTTTGAGACAAGGTCTTGAAGGGTCCCTAAAATGCCCAGGCTGGGCTCGAACTTGCTGCCCTCTGGCCTCATACTGCGCATTTTACAGCTGACACATCTTGTAGGAGTTGGAGAAGAGAGGAGAATCTGTGCGTTCCCTTGGGTTCCCTCCCTCCTCCCAGCTCCTTAGAATCCGTGACTGCGCTGGCCTGACTGCTGGGCTATAAACCCTGCGAGACCAAAGAGACGAGCTCGAGTTTCCACTGAGAAAAGAAAAGAATGTAGGAGAGAAACTCGTACTTAGGAATCGCCAGGTGAGCCAAGCTCCTCGCTGGCGCCCGTGGTTCGGGGAATTTTCTAGGCTGAGGGCAGTCCGTTCTCAGGAAGACTTTGAAACGTCCCTCTCCGTGGACCTTTATGAAAGCAGCTTTAAGTTGAACTTGGCTTTTTATACATCGATGATTTTGCGACGTTTTTGCAGTCAAAGAGCACTAAAATTTTAATAAAATTGACCTAACCTTACAGAATTTCTCATGGTCAGTCTCCCAACTTCGCATGGTATGTGAGAGAATTTTTCCAGAAACAGACATAGGATTAGTGGCCAGTTTAGTAAGTTTAAGTACTTATAAATGAATTCCAGTTGAAATAAGATATGCGTTTAATCATCTGCTATTAATAGAATACAAAACAACTTTGTTTTAATTCTGCTTAGGCACATTGAACCCCTGAGACTTTAAAGTTCTCTAAATTCATTTGTAGCTATGGTTCAGGCCCATAATTGGTCATTTTTATAAAAAAAAATTTTAACCATGAAACTGAGTTTCTAGCTTTGCAGGGTATTAGTGAGTTCTTGAAATCAGAGTTTATTGACTTTTGCAGAGTATGAATTTAAAAACACCATGAAAATATTTTCATAGTCTATCCATTGAAGTCCAGAAGATTATCGATTTCCTTCATCGGAATACATAAGGCGTATACTGTACTGTAACATATGAATTAGACAGAGCAGACTTTGTTGGCATGGCAGTTTTGGGGTCAGCATCCATGACCCAAACCGTTCTTATTAGTGTTTCCATAAGAAAGCAATTTTTGGAAATACCATGAACTTGAATATTTAAAGCCTAAGGCTTGTATTGAAATTGTTGATATTTAAATGATACTGAAGATGGAACAGGAGATGTGGGATGCTGACAGTGTGTAAATAAAACATTCTTACTCATAGGCTTGGGGAGTAATAGTTACTCTGATGATAGTTAAGGAAAAACTGTGTAACTGAGGAATGCAGATCACTAGACATTATATGTGAAGTGTAAATATCCACTGGGGCACAAAAACACACGAACACCAGAGTTTCTCCAATATAGGCTTATTTTTCCTGCCAGTGTGAAATGAGAATATCAACTTGAGACAAGCAGTCAGATGGACAAAGGAGAGTGTTCTTCCTGTCACTTCTGAGGACCTTCTAAGGGGCTGTACTCAAATGAATTAGGGTGCAACAAGTGTCACCCACTTTGACATGTCATGCGACCCACAGGGTGAGGCAGGAGGGAAAAAATGTAGATTTCATCAGTTTGGTTCTCCATATTTGTAGTCATAAATCATTTTCAGTTTTTGCAAGGTTTTAATACCTGGGAGATCAGAGGCCAGTACTTAACAGCTTTGTACTGCCAGGTATCTGAAAGCATACCAAAAGCTCACTAAATGATGGTTGGTTGATTGATTGACTGATTATAATCATCGTTTCCTTGTTAATGTTTTGGGATCAGGTTTTTCATGTTGAGGTGGTGGGATAAGAATTTACAGCACCAGATAACTAGTTTATGTAATCTATAAGATGAAGTGAAGGTAGCTAGTCCATGGTTTGAGTATGAGGAAAATGTACAGCAAAATTTTACATTCAGGGCTCTGATTGGAGACCTGAAAAGCCTTGGAATTTTCCTCCCTCAAACCCACCTGCTGTGATGGAGGCCGAAAAGGATTTAAGTATCCTATGGCAAATTCTATTGGTGAATCTAGTTTCCTTTATGTTGCCTAGCAGTCTACAATATTTTACTAATTGAAACACAACCTAACCAGGTGTGATTACAAAAGGCATCTGCAAATAAGATTTTATGACTTGCTAATATGGGTTTGAGTTTTTTTAAGACTCAAGTTTTCTTTGAAGTAAAGGATTAAAATCTTTAGAGAAAAGGCAGATTTATAAGGTAGTGTGATCCTCCATATGCAGTATCAAATATCCTTAAATATATATTTACACATTTGTTGAGTTTTTAAAATACATATATTTAGACAAATGATCATTGGTGATCCCTGCTAACTCGCAGGAGGGTGTGTGTTTTACTACTTTACAAACAAATGGTGTGATAATAAGCCCCAAAATAAATCAAGTGATGTTGCTGTTGCTAATTAGAGTTCAGCCAAAGATCCCTCCTCCTTCCCACACTTTATAGTATGCCCATAATTTGCCCTCAAAAGCCTGCTTGTGCTTTTGCATGGTTTTCTGATGAGTACATGCCTTCGCGGGAGAGGAAGAAGTCAAGTACAGAAAACCCCATGTTTAAGAGTAGCCACAACCTTCCTCGAAGTTAGAACTGTTAAAGTCTTAGGAAATTGAGGGAGGATGAGTATGATATCATCCAAGGATGTCCCACCTATATGGGCCTAACTAAGCAGTGAGTGAAGAGAAAAGATGACTCAGTGGGGCGGGGGGGGACACAGAAGACTTCACCACTTTTCAAGAAGCCCTGCTCAAACAACTCTAAAAGTGCTAGACACTGTCTATCTCCCAGCATTACCTTAGGTTAGTTTACCTTTCTCGCATAAAATCTACTGCCCTAGAATATACTATGTGCTATATTCATTTATTATGTTTGTGCGTCCCCACCTGGAATGTGAGCTCCACAGGGCAAGGGACTTCACTGTATTCTAGGCACTTAGAACAGTTGCTGGCACATAGTAGTATTGGTATTTGTTGAATGAATGCACATTTGATTGATTTATTAAGCTCCGATCCTAGGCTTATGCTCCTTTACTGTGTAGGCCAGGCTAGTCTCGAACTTGCAGTCCTCCTAACTCAGCCTTCCAAGTGCTCGGATTATAGGTGTGCTGTACCACTTCTGTCCTGAGACTTTCCATAGAATGTTTTATCCTAACAATATAGCTGTCCTCACAGTGGATGTGAATTCTGTGCTTATTTACCATTTTTAGATTGAGGAATTGAGGTATTGAATTCAGTGACCAGCTTCCGTGTGGTAGTTACCAATACGTCTCTGCACAGCAGTTCAGCTTCTGACCAACAGATGCATAAACCAAATGAAGTTTCATAATTTGGTCATCTAAGGTGTCATTGAAATTTTCTGTTGTTCTGGTAATTCATGATTGACATGCTTTGAAGGAAGCTTTTGATAACCTTTTAATGTTTTTATTGAGCAAAGTAAGCAGTCTAAGAATGTGTTTTCCTTGTTTAAATTTTTTCAGTTTGAGTTTAATGGGGATATGTAAGTGAAAGAAACTGCCTGATTAGTTTCTGGTTTGGGCAGTATGCAACTCTAGGGTATAAAGCTTTAAAATGCCTTAAGCACCCTCTCTGTTTCAGGCATGGTGTCTCATGCCTGTAATGCCAATTTCGTGGGAGGCTGAGGCAGGAGGATCACAAGTTCAAGGCTAACCTGGGCAACTTAGACTTGTGTGAAATTTTGAAAAAAAAAAAATAGACCTGGGGATGTGGGTCAGTAGTAGGGCAGCTGCTTAGTATGTATGAGGCCCTCCGTTTGATCCCCAGCGCTCAAGGAGGGGGACACACCCTCTCTGAGATATTTATTGCTATAGCTCTATGCACTTTTGGATATTTTAACCTTTCTCCTAACCCTGCTTTCTTCAGATGTGCTGAAGATAAAATGGGATTTGCAGAAGTCTAGATAACTTGCTTTTCCCTCCATGAGGACTGAAAAAGGGAGTAGAACGAATCATGTGTCAGGGAACAGCAGAAAGGTCGCCAGGTATTAAATATTAATCTGAACACCCCAGTACTTTTCAGATAAGATGAAAATACCAAGCGAACAATAGATTTTTTTTTTGCCTATCAAAAACATCCTTTATCTTAATGGGAAAGAGAGTTTCAGACTATATAACATTGCCTTGAAACACCATTTATTGTGAAACCTGAGTGGAGGGGAGCAGTGGACAGATTATATCTTCCACAGGTTTCGGGCGGCTTTTGAGTTTGCATTTGTGACATTATTTTAGCAGTCATTTTTGCCTCGCACTGGGAAGGAAACCTAATGTGCATAGAACCGCAACAACTTTGATTTTTGTTTTCAAAATGCCACATAGCAAATTATTCTGCAGGTAAAAATTATTACTGAAAGCTACATCTACATTAGTTTAAGTTGCCTGATGACATATGCAAATATATTTTTATTTTTTTAAAAAGTTTTTATTGAACTGTATCCATAGAAGTGTGTTTAAGTGTGTGTAGTTCACTAAATGGTCACAAGCTGAACACACCTGTGTAACCAGCACCCAGGTCAAGAAGCAGAGTGTGACATCCCCCACTCATGTTATCTTCTGTACCCTACGCTCCTGAGGTAGCTGTTCCCCTAAGCTGTGATGGTATTCATTATGTATTTTTTTTTTCCTTTGTGGTAATATGGATTGAACCTAGGGCCCTACACATGGTAGGCAAACACTGTACCACTGAACTGTATCCCTGCCTCTTTTTAAAATTTTGACAGGTCTTCCTAAGTTAGTTGCCCAAATGGGCCACAAACTTTCTATCCTCCTGCCTCAGCCTTCTGAGTAGTTAGGATTACGAACATGTGCCACAGTCCCCAGTTTGTCTGCCTTCTTTTTTACCCAGGGCCCTTATCAAATTCATCCATGTTGTTGGAGTAATTATAGTTAGTTCATTCTTGTTGCTAAGTGATATTCTGTGTGAATATACCACAATTCATTCTTCTCTTGGTGGGTATTTAGACTGTGGGCATTACTGGATTGCTTCAGTATATTAAGACATCATTCTAGTACATGTATTATGGGCATTGGCCCTCCTAGCTCATAGAGTATGGACAGGAATGGATCTACAAAGTGTAAAGTATTTGGATATTTAGCTTTAGTAGGAAATGCTAGGCAATTTTCCAAAGCAGTAGCACCCGTCAACATTCCCTGACACTCTGTGAGAGCAGTATATGCTCTACATCCTGGTCAGCAGTTGATATTGTCAGTTCTTTTAATTTTTGCCATTCTAATGGGTATATGTAAATAGATAAATATTTTTAATTCAAAGCCAGCTATTTAGGGTGCTTGCTTGTAAGCCCAGCACTCTGGGAGGCAAGAAGGTCATAAATTTAAGCCCAGCCTGGGCAACTTAGCAAGATTCTGTCTAAAAAATAAAGGGCTGGGAATGTAGTTCAGTCCACAAGCCGTGGGTTCAATCTCTACTAGTGCTTAAAAAAACAAAACAAAACAAAACAAAAAAACCACTTCTAGACCTATCAGTGATTTGTTTCCCCATAGGATGCCTACAACATCAGCAGAAACCCAGGAGGGGACACTTAATGTTAGAGACAGAACCAGGACCTAGAGAGTGTGAGTCTCAGAGAGGCCATACAGTTGGGTTATTCACTTAAGTAAAGCAGGACTTTCAGTTTCTTGGATTCTGCAACTATTGTAGCTGAACACATCAAAGGACTTCATTGTGGAAGGCATGTTGAGAGCACAGATGAGCCTTATTGAAACAAAGTGGGATGGTTGGGGCAGCATATGGAATTATGGTTAGCCAACTTTTCTTGCTACTTGAGTAATAATAAAAGTACCTTTCTCTTTTTATGTACCTTTTCTTGGAAATGTACATACTTTCCTGTTATCGGCCCAATAGGCTAGTTTTAAAAATAATTTTAGTGAGCTACATTTCAATCAAGATTTCAGGACTAGTACTTTCTCAAGTATTTTTGAGCCTTCCCAGTTACACTTAATTGTACATGCTTGAGCATAAGCCTCCAGAATTACCCTTTTCTGCATCATCCACAGTCATTCATATATTTTTTATTTTTTTATGTGTATATGTATGTGTGGTTAATCTTGAAGGCTTTTAAAAACTTTTTCTCATACTAGAATAGTTCCAAAATTTCTATGAACATTTATATCAAAAATAAGTCACCCAGAAACCCACAACCCAGAGATAATACTGACTCACTGTCATCTTTCACATTTCAATGTCAGTCTGTAGTCAGTGCTTCATCATCTTGATGACTCCACAGTACTCTGTTCTTCATCATAAGTTATTGATCCAGCCCCTGTTGTTGGATATAGACTGCTGCCAGGACTTTGCTGCTAAAGCGCTGCAGTGGGCATCACTGCAGGTAAAACTTTGCCCAAGTCCATGATGTTTACCAAAATCTAAATCCCCAGAAGGGCGGTAGGGGTCAAGGGTAGGTGCCTTTTAAAGTGTATTTACTCCACATTGCAAAATGCCTTCCGGGAAATACTTGCCAAATTATGCTGTTATCTGCATTGTGTGAGGGTACCTTTCCCTGAACTCCTACCAGGCAAGTAGATCTTTAAAAGACTTCCTTTCTTATAGCCCAGAGTAGATGTATATGTATTTTTAGTAGTAAAGCATATGTATCTATAATGTATAGAATTCAGACCTTGTCCAGAACACCCAAGATTTTAGCCTCATGGATATGGACAGAGTGATTACAGCTCTTTGAAGCCTCAGAGCTGTTTACTTCCGTTCTTATTTTCCTCAACCTTGATTTTATACTTCTGTGCATTTGTGTTTGCTTCAGATTTTGGGGATAAAAGTGAGGCATATATTAGCTGGGCGTGGTGGCGCACACCTGCACTCAGGAGGCTGAGGCAGGGGGACCCTTGCAAGTTCAAGACCAGCCTGGGCTACAAAGAAAGCTCAAGGCCAGCTGAACTGCATAACGAGACCCTGTCTCAAAAAGACAAAAAAAAAAAAAAAGAGTGAGGCATATAATAAGTGAGAGAAAATGTTGAGAAATGTTGCCAAAATTTGTTCCCAAACTAGGGTGCAAAATAGATGAGCTCCACACAGAGATCTGAAGGATCCTTCACAGCCTGCTAGAGCTGTGTGAGGTTTGGAGAGAACAGAGAGGGACTGAGATGCTCGCCAGTTTGTTTCTTGAGTTGCTTTTATTTATATGATGCTTTTGAGGTTAGGAAGTCCCTAAATACTAGCAATTCATTTTATTCCCAAAATTCTCAACGGCTGTGTAGGTACCTGGAAAGCACACTTGGGCTTCTTACTTATACTGTGCCTTCTGGAGTATTCACTTTTTTGGGTGGTTACTTTTTCATAGGGTCTAACCAAAAGGAAGCAAAAATGGATAGATTCCATTTCTATTGAGTATATTGGAGTTAAGCTGAAATTTGTCGTTTTCTACCTCTGTTGTGTAAAATTAACCCTCAAAGATAAAGTCTTAATGGTTTTTCTCTTAATTTTCACATTATAGGAATGCATTTTTAATATGGGGTAATCTGAGACTACAAAGGCAACAAAAAATTACAGAAATCAAAAACATTCAAATTCAGTTCGGAAAGCCATTTTTTAAAAGTCTCATTGCTGTCTCACACAGCCAGTCCTTCTTAAGGTACAGGTGAATCCTGGAAAAGTGTAGAAGTGTTAATAACCTGTCATAAATATGGGAAAGATCATCTGAGTAGGCAGAGTGTCTAGAACAGACCCACAGAGGGTGAAGGTGGGGGTCAGGACAGATGAGAAGCCCAAACACCAGCTGTCTTAAGTTTCTTCTTTATTTTTTTGTGGCACAAACCCTGGTCAAACCTAGGGCCTTGTGCGTAATAACCAAGCCATCCTACTGAGCTACACCCTCAGCCCTGCCGGCCGCCCTGAGCACAAGGCTGACCACGTGAGTCAGGAGGAATGAGAGGGTACAGGAGGTGGCCCTGTCACCTTCACATGCCTGCCCGATACAGGTGCCTGAGAATTAAGGTAATAGAGCTGTCCATTTGTGGCCACAAAAACTCAAGTAACAGATCAGGAAGGTCACAGTACCTTATACCTAAGTGCTGTGATTTATGTGTATGACTGACTTTTGGCCTGGGGTGTGTGGCTCCATGGTAGAGCGCTTGCTAACATATACCAGACCCTGGGTATGATTCCCAGCGCTAGAAAAAAAAAAGATAATTTTAATTAACCAAACAGTATCTTTTCTGAGATCCTGAGTTTCATCGTATACTTAGAGCAGCCTAAGATACAGGTCATCAGCCATGTCTGACGGTCCACTTAAGTGTGTGAACACACTTTCAACAGGGAAATGTTTAATTTGTTCCTGTTAAGAGTCTCAGTCTGACTCTTGGACTCTTTGAGAAGAATTTTCAGCTAATCAGTCCATCCCTTGTGTTAGCCTAGATTTTTATTTGTACTTGATTATGTTGTGTTCCTCCATTTGACCTTGTGCTTCAGTTTCCTCAGCTATAAATAAGGATGATAGCAGTACCTATCTCATATGTTTGCCGTAAAGCGGTGTCTGGCATGTCATGGGTGTTCGGTGAGCGTTGCTGTCTGGAGAGCAGCGCGTGTTTACGAGACTGCCACTACCGTGCAAACACTGATTTTCATGTTCTGTTCCCTACTAGCCTCAGTAACTGCAGAGGTGGAACTGGATAAATATTTGACAAAAGAATAGTGTTGAAATGATCGGTGCACATTTTTCTCTTCTCAATGAGCTATATGCTCTTCCATAGATTTTCTAAATCCCTAATTCTGCTGGTGCCAAAATATCTGTGGGGTGAATACTGAAGATCAGTTCTTCACACACACAATTTCCACTGCAGTTGTCACCTGCTCTTCAGCTAGTGGGACTGAGATGGCACCAGTAATAACAGCTACCCTATTTCAAGCACCTGTGGCTGTCACGTATGTCCCGGGCTTCCCACTGACACTCAGGCTTCTCCAACTACTTTCTCAAGCACCGCAGCTGCACGAGGCGCTGTGGTCACTACCGGGAACCAGACTGCAGAACAGATCAACAGTGTCTTGTGCGCTTCTGGGCCTCACAGCTAATGACAGGACAGTGGTGCCAGCTTTTAGCACTTCCAATCTTTCCCTTCCTCCTCTGCCTGCCCAGGCTCATCGTATACTTTGATTGTGTTTTCCTGACCCTGCCCCAGAGAGGTCCTGCTTTTGCCAGTTTGTTTCTTTGAAGTTTGTTTTGTATCAGTATTGAAAGAAGGGAGAAAGGATTAATATATATGCAGGTCAAGTTGAGGAAAAGTTTTCAAAACAGTCTGTAAGAAATCTTTGGGAAGTTGGATGTATGAAAGGAGTAGATGAAAGCCAAAAGTTATATGTGGTTTTTAGAAATTTCAACTCCTCTTATAAGAATCTGAGAAATATAAGAGTTGAACTGTTTTTCCAATTATTTGAGGTTTTTAAGCGTCTCTCTGATTTTAAGGTCTGCAGTTTTAACAGAGAGCACAATGACCTGTCTCTGTTCACACTAGAATTATTCTAGATACTACTATGAGGTGGTGGTTGGAAGGAACTAGTGAGCTTAAAAAATGCTGTGTGAAGCCAGTGTACTTTGATCTGATAAAGCTCCTGTTACCTGTTAAGTGCTTCGGGATTTCTGAACAAATGCAACCCAGTACATGAGTCTGTCTTTCCTGTAAATTCATTGCTTGCTTTTTATACCAGGACACACCTTTTGAAAACAGTAACTAGGCAGGCAAGAACTCCTACCCCACGGTCTAGTGTACTCCTGCAAAGTGTGTATCCGTTGCCAGCTCTTTCAAATTGAGGAAGGAGTCGGTTACTGTTCCACCCATAGGCCCATGTAAATGCCACTTATCTGTGAATGTTTATATTTCTCAATGATATTCAAGTAATATTTTAAGTGATGGCATTTCTTATTTCTTTGGATTGCCTTGGTATTTTCATACCTTATCTCCCTGTGTGACCGTGCATTTTGTGAAGACTGGAACTCTTCCCCTATTCATCTCTGTATTTCCTGGGCTTGGCATAGGACCAGGCTCAACATGAGCAAATAACAAAGGTTGTACAAGTGTACGTTGTTTCAGAGGCCCATATGTGAGAAGGACTTTGTAGAGTTAGTGGAATGAAATTTAAGTACACATATTCTCTGGTACTTGCCATGAGTCAGTCGGTCATTCTCTCCGTCTCTCCCTCTGTCTCTAACATACACACACTCATACAGTCATGAAAATATCAGAGAAGGGGGACATTTTCAGATTCTGGTTGACATGGTATTCTTAAAATTTACTCTGAAGTTTGTGTGGTAGTCATCCTGGTACTATAGTTTAGAAAGGATCGTGTTTCCATTCTATCAAATAAAAACATGTACTTCTACAAACCAAGCAAAAAATGGATACTGCTGTTATCATAATTGGAATTTCAAAAACTGGTTTTTATTTCAATCTCATAGATACTATTCTCTCTGAAGATCAGAGCACAAAAGTTGCTTGAATTCTAGGGCAAGTTTCCAAAAAGTCCTTTGTCTGATGGAGGCCGGTGGGTGCCAGACATTGGTCCAATGTAGAAATGCCTACTTTTGACCAAAGGATTTCTTGGCACTGCCACAAGATATACTATGGCATTATGGAATCTTCTAGACTTAAACCCAGTATAGTCATTTGTACTCAGACTACTAGGAAAAGTGTTTTTGAATGATTCTATCCATAGACAAATCTGAAACTTTTGTCCAGTGTTTAAAATTGCAACCTGGCATGATGGCAAATGACTGTAACCCTAGCACTCAGGAGGCTGAGGCAGGAGGATTGCTGTGAATTCAAGGCCAGCCTAGACTACCTAGTGAGTTTAAGGCCAGCATGGATTACATAGCTAAACTCTTTCCCCAAAAAACAGGAGAAAAAATTTTTTTTCTACTTTCAAACTAGGTTGAGATCATGATTGTTTTCTTCAAGTTGCTGCTATCAGATTATCATGAAGTCACAATGCCTGTACGTGATTCTCCACCATATTATTTAAAAATTAACTAAAAACCTGGATTTTTATGCTAATATAAGTGGCTAGCATAACTTTAAGACAGTCTTGATAACTTTATCTAAAAGGTGCTACTAGTTGTGGAACATTCTTATTCCCACCAATGTGGGCTTTTTTGTTTAGCTTTAGTGTGCTTTAGCCTCAGAACACTTCTTGCTCCCTAAATGAGTAGGGACTAGGAAATGTAGAGTTTATCCCTGAAATCTCTTTCTTTAAGCAGTGAAATGGCAGGGCATTGTAATATGATTGCCTGTGGTAATATAGTACCTACCTTTCTCGATGATCACACTGGTTGCTTGATTGGTTCTCAGGGAGCTCAGGATCTAATAGGAGCACCTGGAACTCTGAGAGCCTTGTTCTGTGAGAGGCCAGGCTCAAAGGGATTCCACTGTGCTTCACTGATCATTGGCTTCTCATGCTCAGGCCACATGGCTTGGGACAGGTCCATGTGAGCCTGTGGGGACTTTTGCTCTCCGAAGGACCATTTTTGCAGAACAATCCCATATGAATCAACACCTGTATTATAGGTGAACAGGGAAAAGGGAGAACGAAGGTAAAACAATGTTTAAGTTATGGTGAATGTTCAATGGAAGATTTTCTTTATGGGCTAAAGATTTCCTACGGAATTCCCCCTTCAGAAGGACACAGTCGGGACTTTTGCCTGGAAAAACATTTGCTGTATCCTTCTCCAATCATAGCTGGAAAGACAGCTGCTAATCCAGCAGAATTGTCTCAAAATGGATGGGTTATCATTTTCTATTCATGGCTCAAATCAAGTTTCACCCTGGGATGGGAGATTGCTGTATGGGCATATATTTTGCAGACCAAGAGTCCTTCCAGCAGTCCTGGTCCAGTGTTCATAAAGGACAGAGGATGACCTACATCTGAAGACGTCTGGCTCTTAAGCCATGCATGGTAGTACATGCCTGTGGTCCTAGCACTTGGGAGGCTGAAGCAAGATGATCACTGAGAGTTCAAGGCCAGCCTGAACTACATAGTGAGACACTATTTCCAAGAAAAAAATTTTAAAAAGACACTTGGCTCTTCTGTGAGAGGCTGGTTCGCCACAACCAAGGAACCAGCAAACACAGACAGTTCTGTGACTATCTCATAGCATTGAGGATGTAGAGTTCCTGAAGCTATAGTAATCAAAGATTTTGCTTTATTTTTATGTAGCTATAATTTATATACTACATCATTTACTCATTTTAAGTAACCTTCATGAGCATTTGCTGTCATTCATCTTTTCACTTCTAGTCCCAGGCAACTGTTGATATATTTTTCTCTAAGTAGATTGGTATTTTCTGGATATTTCATATAAATGGAGTCATAATATGTGGTGGGGGGTAGGGTGCTGGGGATGGTACCCAGGGCCTCTCACATGCTAGGCAAGCACTCTACTACTGAGCTACATCCTCAGCGCAATATGTGGTCTTTTGTGACTAGCCTCTTTACTGAGCATAATAGGATTCATTTGCATTATAGTATCAGAACTTTGTTCATTTTTATGGCCAAATAACGTCCCATTGTGTGGATATCCCACATTTTGTCTTTTCAACGGTTGATAGACATTTGGATTATGCCCACTAAGGTCCTCTCCTCTCCTCCCCCCTCCCCCCTCTGTGTCTGTATCTGTCTCTCTGTCCCCCTCCCCCTCCCCCTTCCCCTTCCCCCTCTCCATCTTTCTCTGCATGAAAAGGGATTTAACCCAGGCAGTGCTGCGCTGCATGTCAAGCCTTTTGTAAGTTGCTCAGGCTCATTTCAAACTCAAGATCCTCTGGCCTCAGCCTTCCAAGCAGTTGGGATTATAAATACAAACCATTACACTTGGTATTCTTTTTAAGAGCTACATTATGCCAGGCATGATGGCACATAACTGTAATCCCAGTACTCCAAGACTAAGGCAGGATTGTGAGTTCTAGGCCAGCCTGGGCTACATAATGAAACCCTGTCTAAAAAAGGGTGGGAGTACATTATTGCCCAATCTCAACAAGGTAATTAAAATGACACATTGGGAAAACACAGGGTTTGGAAGTAAAATTGACTAGAGATGGCATTTCATATTTTGTAAGCCTGCTAAGCCTTAGTAGGTAGATGCCAGAGCCTCGCAGCGTTTGTGACTCTCAGATGGAGTTATTACTTTGAGCTAATGAAGTGCAAACCAGTGGCCCCATTACCTCATGCTGGATTTTGGTGGCTAATTGGCCCACTGGGCCATTGTGTCTGTAGTGGTGTGTGCAGATGAGTCTGTGGAGCTGAAGGGACAGCAGATCCACCCTGAGCACGTAGATCTCGACATAATATAAACTTGGGAAGCTGCTGCTGCTGAGTGTAGTACAGTACTGTGGGGTGCTGTTCTGGTGCTGGGGGTGTGGTGGGGGTTAATTTGCATATAATTTCTACAAAGAGACAGAGTAAACAGATAAGTAATATCATATGAGGTAGTGATAAGCACCTTGAAGAAAGAGAGGCCAGGAACAGAGCAAGAGGAGGGTGGGGTGGGGGTGGAGGAGTTGCCATTGCTGCCTGCTGCCCATGAGAGCAGAAGGGTTAAAGAAGGTGTTTCTGATGTTTTAAGCTAAGGCCAGTGGGCTGGGTATCTAGAACCAGACCCTTCAGGAAGGAAGAAGAGCAGTAAAAGTCCCTACTGGGAATAGCTTTGGCCTGTTCAAAGAACAGCCTGGAGCCCCTTGTACCAGGTGCAGAGTGGCTAGGGCAGAGTGTACAGCACCGACCTCAGAATGTGTTCAGGCTTTTGGTGCCTCTTTCTTCCTGCCATGTTGTTAAAAGGACAAAAGTCAAACATAAAAGCTGAAGGTGAGCCCATTAAATTATACTAGGAAACTACCTTCTGTTGTTTCTTTTCCCTGGCTTAGGTATTTTCAAACATAAATACCTTTTTAATGTTGACAAGGAATCAGTTTATAGTACTTTAAAAAAGGTACTCTCCTTAGCCAGGTGCCCCAGCATTTGGGAGACCGAGGCAGAAGGGTTGCTGCAAGTTTGAGGCCAACCTGTGCTACACAGTAAGTTGTAGGGAGAATTACATAGGGAGACCCTGTCTCCAAAAGAAAAGATAATAAGGTGCTGTCTTTGATCCATCAAATAGACAAAATATATGGTAATACCAAGTGTAAGATAGTATTTCTGTGCAGTGGCTATGGGAGTGTAAATTGCCGCAACCACTTTCCCTCCATTTGGCAGTACTGTATCTGACAAGATTGAAAAATCTGTCACATACTCTGTCCCAGCATTTGTTTCCAGGTGAATTCTTTACCTGTATGCACAAGGAGACATATACAGTTCCTTGCTCCACAGTTAAGAATAGCAAAATTTGTAAACCATCTGCATGCCACTCAGCAGTGGGGGGTAGAATCTGAGACTTGGATTGGAGTGGTTAAGGCTTCCTGTAGTTTGGTCTATAGCATTTTAGTACCTTTCAGCAAAGGGAGTCAGTACAACAGTGTTAACTAGTAGTAATTCGTGTGGGGACTGCAGGTGGCTGTCAGAAATACTTGTTTGCCCAAGCAAGATGGGTCATATTATGATATTAGAAGATTAATTATATTCACCAAAAATGCAGAGTAGGATTATAGGAAAGCACGTGAAAAGGAAATGTGTTTTGTTTTGTTTTTTGTGGTGCTGGGGATGGAACCCAGGGCCTCGGGCATGTTAGGTAAACACTACCCCTGAGCGAGGCTCCCAGCCCTATGGAGCTCTTACCATGTATTCTGCAAAGCTCTTAACACTCAGCACACACTCAGAAAATACTGTAGAGAGTCCCATAATGTCTCACTAATACAAGTAATGTGATGAAAGCATTTTCATCTCACTTTATTTCACAGCCTACTAGAAGGAACTATTGAGGCCTCAAGGCAAGTGGCAATGTTAGTAGGGAAATTGCCTGGGTTAAATGCTTATCTCTTGCTGCCCAGATTACTGTCAGCAAGGTTTCAAAGTACTGCTAGGCATGGTGGCCAAGGCCTATAATCCTAGCACTTGGAAGGCTGAGGCAGGAGGGTCAAAGCCAGTTTGAACTACACAATGAGACCTTATCTCAAAAAACCCACAAAATCTCAGAGTTTTAGTATCTCATTTGTAAAATGGGGATAGTAATACCCATGTTAGAAGGAAATGAGAAAATTTGTGTGGCACCTTTCTCTTGATCAGTGGTGCTGCATGTTACTTGTTTTTCTTTTAAGACAAAAGATGTTAATGCCTGACTTGTTTTTCCTAAACTAACACCTCAGTATGCAGGTTTAGTTGCAGTGTTGGCACTTTGTGATAAATAAGTGGGTTTAGTGGTTGTAGTTTGGGGACTCATCTCTAAAAAGTTCCCCATTGCTGCTCTAGATGTTTTGTATATGATTTCTCTCATCCTGATATTTTGAAGTGAGAGAGCTGATACCATTTATTTTTGTTTTATAGATAGGAAATAGATATACCTAGAGATTGCTGTGTAAACAGGAGTGTTTATCTTTTTGAAGGCTGGCTAATATTTTAGAGATTTTCTCTTGCAGTATTAGTTACAATTGGCTGAGTGTGTGCTGAGTGTTAAGAGCTTTGCAGAACACATGGTAAGAGCTCCATAGGGCTGGGAGCCTCGCTCAGGGGTAGTGTTTACCCAACATGCCCAACGCCCTGGGTTCCATCCCCAGCACCACAAAAAGCAAAACAAAAGAAAACAAAAAACAGTTAAATAGATAAGTGCTCCATAGTGTTAGATTTTTTTCACCTTCACACCTTATACCCCTTACAAGGTAAAAATCAATATCATTCTCATTTTATAGAGGAAGAGATCGCGATGTAATTTCTTCTCCCAAAAAACAAATGCATCCACTGCTATTAAAACACTTTACAGATTTCAGAATATAAAAGCTGCATTGCTTTTTTGTTCCTAAGTTTAAAAACAACATGTACTTTAGCTAAAATAACTAGATTAATGGCCAAAAAGCCAGTATAGAAATGAATTTTCCACTGTTTAAAGGGGCCAGATTTCTAGGGGAAAACTTTCTGTAGCTAAACCTAAATAACAAAGAATTGAACTATACGTGTTGAACTTTTCAAGCCTAAAACTCTCTTCTTTGAAGCTGGTTTTAGTTTTAAGTCTTACTTAAACTTTGCTTTTCAGCAGAATCATTTGGATGGTAATTTGTGTTTGGTGTTCATTGCTCTTGGTGTTTTTAAATGTTAGAGTTAATATATGAACATTTCACGAGTTATATCAAGAAATCAAATTACTTTCCCTTGATCTCGATAAGGAGTATGCTTAAGAAAGAACAGCTGTAGGCTTCCTTGCGTGACTGCTTGTATGCTATAGGGCAGAGCGAGCTCTGAATTGGTTTTTTTTATTTTTATCATCTAGACACAGCCTCATAAGATTATTACAGTAGTTTTAAACAAGATATCATTAAGGTCTTCCTTTTAATTAGAAAGTGATGATTTGTCAATGAAATTAACAGATTTGAAAAATTATTGAAGTCTTCCAGATTGCCAATGGGAAGGTAAAGTGATAGAGCCATTCTGGAAACAAACCTGGAAGTTTCTTAAAAAGTTAAACATACACCTACTCTGTGACGCAGCGGTTGAACTCCTTGGGTATTTATCCTAGAGATATGAAAGCATATGTTGATACAAAGACCTGCACATGATCGTTCATATCAGTTTAGTTTGGAATAGCCAAAAATTTGACGCAATCCAAATGTTCTTCATTGTGTAACAAGAACACCGTGACACGTTCATCCTGTGAAGTGGAATACTACTGACAGAACCTAAAAGGAATAAACCACTAAAGCACCCAACAACTCAGGTCCATCCTTAAGGGCATTGTGCTAAATGAAAAAGCTACTCTTTATAGGTCAGATTCTGAGCCAGGTGTGATGGTACATACCTGTAATCCTAGCACTCTGGGAGGCTGAGGAGGAGGGTTACAAGTTCAAGCCCAGTCTGGACAACTTATTGAAACCTGTCTCAAGATGAAAAGGGCTAGGAATGTAGCTCAGTGCAACATGCCTGGGTTCGACCCCCAGTACTGACCAAAAAAAAAAGTCAGGTACTGCATAATTCCATTTATATAACAGTCTCAGAACAACAGAATTGAAGATGGATCTTACCAGTTGCTGCAGGTAGAAAATGGCATACAAGGGAGATCTTTATGTTAGTAGAATAAGTCCTGTATTATAATTGAGGTGACAGGTGTACAAATCCACACATGTGATAAAATTTCATAGAAATAGTGAATCCTCCCCCCCACCCAAAAAAAAATTATACAAGAACTAGTAAAATTCACATAAGATCTGTGGTTCAGTTAATAGTATTGTAGCAATGTCCATTTCCTGGTTTGAAAATGTACTGCAGTTGTAGAAGAGATTATTTGAGATGCTGGGGGAAGCTTGCCTGGGAACTGTGTTTGATTTACAAGACTACTTACGAGTCTTAAACTAGTTTAAAATAAAATGAGAGCCAAAGGAACTGAGAAGACAGAAATAGGAGCCGTGGCTCTAGGTATCCAGTGATCGGGTACTAACTGGACAGGGTTAGCTGACCTGGTAGTGCACAAGCCTAGGATAGCCACCTGCTCTGGTAATACAGGATGTGTGGACTTCAGTTAGGCAGGGCAATTCACCTCATGTGCTTTCTTCTCTTCCTTTTGAGAATACACCAAGATGATGGCAAAGGAATTAAAACAACCACAAAAACTCTATAAATCTGTAGTGCAGAGACCTGAGAAGCAAACAGTTGACAAAAGGCTTAAAGAAATTTTGAAAGCTAGAAAGTGGACAGAAGAGCAGTGTCTGACTTGCAAGAACCTGATGAGCCTACAGAGGAGTGCTGGAGAGCATGCGCACACACAAACAGATACAGCTGGAATAGGAGTCTGAAATGCAAAGTGGTTGGACCCCCGGGATCCCTGTCCCACCTCAGCCACTACCAGCAACAAGCAGCTCCCTCTGCCTGGCAGGCGAGAGACTTAAAAGATCATCAGGAGTTGGAGGAAAGTCTTTAACATGGAAGGAGGGTAGTAAACAATGAGGAAAAGTAATCAGATGACATGGGGATCTGGAATAGAATAAAATACCTACAATTTATATTCAGATATGATAAGATGCTATATTTATAATCCAAGAATTTATACTCAGATATGACAAGATACTGTATTCTTAATCCAAGAGATATGAGGATCTTTTTGGTTGTTGTTGTTTTTCTCAAACCCAGGGCCTTGAGCAAGCTAGGCAAGCACTCTACCACTGAGCTACGCCCAAGTCCCTTCTTTGAGACAGGATCTTGTTAAATTGCCCAGACTGGGCTTAAATTTGGCAGTTCTTCTGCCTCAGCTTCTTGAGTAATTACCATGCCCGGTTAAGAGGATACTTTTTTAAAGTCGCTATCAAGAAACTTTAAAACACTCTTGAAATTAAAAATACATCAAAAGCTTAGAGTTGGAATGTATGTAGAGATAAACAACATCATCAGAGAATGTGAATCAGAGAAAAGATAAAATAGAGAATAAATCTGATGTCTAAAATCCTCATCACAGTTCCAGAAAGAATGAAGAAATAAGAAAGGAAAGAGGAACATTTTCCAGGCCGGAAGGGCCTGATTTTCCACATGGCTAGGGTCCACCAACTGCCCAGTTAAGTAAATGGAAGAAACACCCACACTAACGCAGACCAGTATTCAGTTTTACAAAACAGGAATAAGAGATGGCTTCCAGAAAATAAGCTTTAAAATAGGGAAAGCCACATACAAATAAAAGGACAGCTGACACCTCAGCAGCAAAATGGGATGTTAAAGACAGTGAAGCAGTATCTTCAAAATTCTAAGGAATTATTTCAATCTCTTATACTCTGCCCAGCAAAATATCAAACAAGTGTCAAGGTAAATGCAAACATGGAGACACAGATTTATCTTTCATACATCATTTCATAGATCATTTTTAGAGAATGGTCTGTAGCAGAAAGAGAGAAAGAAGAAGACATGGATCCAGTTAGTGGGAGCTGTTAACCAGAGAGGTACATGCAAGGACAGCAGTGAGGCAGACTGAGGGAGTCAGACCAGACCAAGTAAGAAGACAGAGAGTCCTTAGAGAAGGTTCTGGGGGCAGAAAATGGAATAGATTAGTTGACAGCTTTGTATATTTGAGAAATAATATTGGTAAACCTCTGCTAGATCTGACAGGACATGTGGAAGAATTTAAGGTAGACATAGAAAACTGAGCACAAGGAAAGGGAATGAGACAATTATTAATCCCCGGAGAAACAAAAAGGCTTTACCAAAATAGAACAGTTACGTTTACTACATTCCTTACATCGTAGTGGCCAATATTTAGAAAGTCATAATAAACACTATTGATTTACTAGAAAAATGCCAGTTAATTACTGTATATGGGGAGGGTTGAGGGAGGGCAAGTGAGGTGGTGTATCGAGCTAGGTCCTCAGGTACTGTAGTAGAAAGCCAGTAGTTTCTGTTCCAAGTTAAGAAATCAAGAATACCAAAAGCATAAGGCTAAGAATAACAGCTTAGGTATAAGCATTCTTGGGAATAAGAACGGGTGGGAAAGGTTGATACATGGATCACTTTTCACTGTGAACCTTTTATTATTGTTTGATAAGTAAGTCCTCCTGTGCTCTGCGAGTCCTAATGGAGAACCTTTTTCTTCTGAAGGGTACGTGTATAAAGTATCTGCCCCTTTGGGTGTTGGTTACTTTTTTATTCTTCTCTCCTGGTCATTACAGACAGAACACATTTGGGGAGTAGAGGCAGCAAGACTTGTGTTTGGAATGATTAAGACTGTTGGTATTGACTAAGACTACATAGCTCATTACTCATAGATGGGACAGATACCCATAGTCACCATGCGTTTTCAGTCATGAAGTCAGCACCATAGGAATGATTCGTTTTCTAAACTTCAGACCCCGGCAGAGAGTGAAAGCACATCTCTTGGAAGTTTCTGTTCACTTAGCGGCCAAAACATTACCCTTAATTATACATTAAGTTGAGGTAGCTAGGTCACACACCTGTTTCTAAACACTAGAATGACATCCTTTAACAATCTACTTACACCCAAGAGTGTGCGTGCCTTGGCCCCTGGGCCCACAGTCCCATGGGGCATGGTAAGGATGTGAATGTGTGCTGCTGGCTCCATTTATAGTATGTTCTAAGCAGCCTTTGAGACACAGAACTGCCAGGGTTACATTCACCTGCCAACTTTTTGTCAGGTGAGGAAGTGTATGTACCTCACATGATTTTTAAGTAGCATTTGTGACCTTGTGGACTATACTGTTAGCACACATAGGTATCCTAGGCCGTACAGTGACAAAATCTAAGATCACTTGGTCTATTATATATTAATTTTTTTGTTTTCTGTATTTGTTTGTCAGAATGTTATGGAACAGTTCAATCCTGGGCTACGAAATTTAATAAACCTAGGAAAAAATTATGAAAAAGCTGTTAATGGTAAGTCTTTTGTTTTCTGAATTGATCCATGTAAAGCATATATTAGTCACTCGGTAAATATTTTACTTATTTTAAATGCCTAACATTGAATTTTTAAGATTTCTTTAAATGGTAGAAATTATCGATAATTTAATCTACAGAAGTTTACGTGATATTAGTATATTTGAAAGGAGTGAATTGAGTGAGAACAGGTTACTATAAGTGATATATTTTAACTATAAAATCATGCTTTTTTGACATGTCTCAGTCTCTTATTTCATTGCTAAAAAACACATTTTCTACTTTTTAAGCAGATTCTTTGTGAACTAATAACATGTAAATGTGTCCTTACTGCATTTGTATGTTAGTCTCCTGTGCACAGATACTGTTCTCCTTTTATTTATATAGAAGAGCTTCTTGCTTTTAGACCTACCAGTTTTGAAAGTAACACAGGAAATAGTCTTTTTATCCTGAATGGAAAAACATCTAAAGATTGGACTTAGATTCTCATTTCAAAATATAGTAATTGCTTCAAGTAAAATGAATTTGAGTATCGGCATGTGCCTATCTTTGTAAACCAGATTGTTCGCCAGTTTGAAGAGGTTTTCTTTGAGGGTGATTATATGCAGCCATACTGTTTCCTTACAGAAAGGTGAATGCTATTATAGTGCATTAGTTTTTCTTTTTTTTGTTGTTGTTTTTTTTCTGGTACTAGGAATCGAATTCACGACCTCATGCTTGCCAGGCAGGCGCTGTGCCACTGAGCTAAATCCCCAGCCCCTATAGTGCATTAGCTATCACCTTAAAATGCTAACAGTCACCGAATTCTAACATGTTTGTCAAGGTGATTCTCGCTGTGTAGGTTGTTACCCCCCAAAATACTCGGGCTCTAGGTTCACCCTCCACCCTGATTCACTAAAACCACCAAGCAACATAAATAGAACATTTAGTTTCCATCCACTTTAGCTCTGAAGAAGGCTTCAGATCAAGTTTCATACCTTTTACTTATTTCTTCTTCCCCTCTCCCACCCCACCCCACCTTGCTTGCTCCCTATAAATAGTTCGAAAACTCCCTTGGCCTTCCATCCCTCGGTGCGGTATGGTCTGGGTCAGGGCTGGGCTCTGGGTGACAAGGAGCTTATTGTAGTCACTGGACAAGTAAACTGCTTATTTACTTTCTTCTGCATTGCTATGCTTTTTTGCCTAAGGCTTTGGGTGTCAGGAAAAGCAGCAGGTTTGGGACTGTCCTTCCTTCCAGCAGGGTCATTGCTTTGTCAGGTGCCTTCTCTCCTCTAGAGATCATGCTGACTCTTCCCCTGGTGATTGCTTGATCACAAGTCTGCAAAGCCATTGCTATAAATGTACCTATGAAGCAAATCACTATGACCTGCAGTGGACTTTTTGTTTGTTTGTTTGCTTGTTTTGTTTGTCTTTGTTGCTTTCTTTGTGGTGAGAGCTGCCTCTCTGGGCAGAGTTACCGGGTGAGTCAGTGAGCTGCCTGCAGCTTAGCCTCTTGCTAAAAAGGCTTCTCCCAGAAGGGCCCTTATCACTTTTAACACCTCCTGAGATGATCCTGCATTTTCATAAGTATTCCCAGAATTTCTGCCCACCATCTGATTGTGGTTTTGCTGAAGCCACTGATAAACAGATGCATTTGTAAGAATTTGGAGTACAGTTTAAGATGCCAGCCAAATGCAGTCAACAGTTACATTAGAAGGCAGGGCAACATGTGAATAGCTAAAAGTGTTGCTTAGACCAGTGTGTGGGAATCTGAGAGGTAGGGATTGGTGTAGACTGGAGCAAGCCCTTGGAGGAGCTGAGCTAGCCAACAGATGTTGGGTTTCAGTCAGCAGAAACTGCTTCTGATGGAAAAGACAGCATTCCAGCCAAGCCTTGGGACCCACACTGACCTGGTAAGATGCCGAAGGGGAATAGATGGGATTGGACTAGCAGACATGAGCATTTGAATGCTACATCTATCATCTCTTGTTACCCAACAGACTACCTCAAACTTGGCCGCTTAAGATCATAGTTTATTATCTCTTTGGTTTTTTTTTGGGGGGGGGATGTTTCTGGTACTGGGAATCGAACTCACGACATCACGCTTGCCAGGCAGGCAGGCTCTGTGCCGCTGAGCTAAATCCCCAGCACCCCCCCTTTTAAATTTTTTTTGTTTTTTTTCCATATTATCTGTCTTATAAAGGGCAGTTTTCTGTCCCCTAGGGCTCACTTCTGCTGCTTTAATCAGCTGGTCTCAGGTCTGCGAGTTATGCATGCTGTCTTTCCTTCAAGGAGGCCACACTGTATCCTTACACCGTGGCGGTAGTGTCTCAAGAGTACAAGCTCTAATGCCTGGCATTTACCAAGTCCCTGTGGGAATTATGCTTGCGTATAGCACATTGGCCAAAGCAAATCACATGGCCAGACAACCCATGGCTGTGGAAGGGAAACCACACAAACTGAGAATTCTGGGAGGGAGGATTCATTGAAGATCATTATATAATGTAAAAATCTACAGTGAGCTCCAGGGAACAGGGGCTTATACTGTGGGCAGTGGAAGCCATTGAAGGCTTTTGAGCAGAACAGTAAGCCAATGAAACTGTATTTGAGGGAAAAATTATCTGTACATATATGTATGTAGATTAATCTAGATTAATACCACTAAAATAGAATTAATAAGCTTCATCCCTTACAATAATAAGTAGTGAAAACTATCTTAATGTGTTCACAAAGGAAGGCAAAATTGTGAAAATAATAATTTTGTGTTTTGGATAAGTTATAAAATTTTTAAATTAATTCAGATTTATCATAAAACCAAAGATATTTTACAAGACTAAGAAGGTTACATGGTACATGGCTTTAATGTAAATTAGCAGTTAACTAATACTTTCAATGCAGTATGTGAATGCCTACCAGAGTTTTTGTTTAAATATTGTGTAATCGTGCATGCCATTCTCCCACTGATTTGCTTTTCAGTTTATCAGTACTTTACAACTTAAAATCTTCATTCCAAAATACATATATTAACATGACAGCTGACTGGCTACACACCTTGTTTTGAAGCAGAGTCACTTTTTCTTGTTCCTGCTGAGACCAGAGTGTCAAAAAGCGCTATAATTTAGAACTGAGGAAGTAAGGGACCTTAGCAGGAGTTGTGTACACTGCTGCTGACTCACCACTGACCTTGGGGATGACCCAAAATCTGCACTCCACCCCCTCAGCAGGGGCTGATAACTACCTTGTCTCAACATTATCAGGTAGATTAAGTAATGACCTGAAAAGTCTATGTAAATGCTAATTATTATTGTTCTTTTTATAATTACACTTTAAGGGTATCCATAGTTTTATAAAATAATAATGTAGCAGAGCATTACATTTTTAAAGCTTATATTCAAATACAGTAAAAGCCATAACTTAGTTTTTAAGACTCTACAATAAATGCTAAAATAGGTAAATTTGTCTAAGAGTGCTATTCCTTCCGATAGACTTACATATGAATTAATTCTGTGGCTCTTTCATACTTTGTTTTTGTGTTTCTCTTTAAAATCTAATTTTTAAGAACATATTCGTTATAAATTGAGGAAAAGTACCGTAATGGAGCCGCCTATAGTTGTCCAGCCAGTAAAAGACATAGAACAAGAGACTGACCTGTGTTTGAGGAGGAAAAAAAACCCTGTGTGTATTCCCCCCTTCCTGTCTACATGATGATTTTGTGTGTCACTTTTCTCGTCTAGCTATGATCGTGGCAGGAAAAGCCTACTACGATGGAGTGGCGAAGATCGGGGAGATGGCCTCTGGGTCCCCCGTGTCAACTGAGCTGGGTGAGTCAACTATCCATTACACAAACCTACCTGTCATCCTGGACACCCTGATGAGAGTGCAAGAGGTAGCCCAAGTTGAGAATAGAAAGGAGTCTGTAAAACTAACTGGAAGCTTGGTTGAACAGCAGGTCAAGCCTAGTGCCTGAGGGCCGAGTGGAGGGGCTTCCAGCTCTTCTAGGAACTTGGACTCCTGCCTCTGGCCCTTGAGCTCTTGCCTGTGGCCTCTGATCCCCTAATTACCAAGCCCAAGGAGCTCTGACCTACATTCTGAACCAGAGGAGGTGGGCGAGCCGTGGCTCTGACCAGGCAAGTGTTTCCTATGACTCACCGCGTAGAAAACCCAACTCCTTACATTGCCTTCTTGGCTCTCACTGCTTCCACAGTTGCTCCTGGTTGTGATTTTTCCGGTTTTGCTGGTATGAATCGCTCTCCTGTGCAGGCAGAGGGCGGCCACACCCTGTGCAGCAGGCGCGGTGGAGAGAGGCTGGATTTCTATTTACAGAGCCGCTTCACTGTTACTGTCTCCTGTGGGGGAGGGTCCAGTTTTTAAATAGCGCTACACATGACCCCTATTTTTAAAACTTGTTGAATATGTTGTACATATTAAAAGTATTTGCTATAATTTGAAATGTTCAGAAAAGCAGGGGAAAAGAAGAGTAAAGTGTGTGTGTGTGTGTGTGTGTGTGTGTGTGTGTGTGTGTAAGTTAGGGCAAGTTGAGGAAGAGCAGAGCAGTACCACAAACTTGGGTTACAATGCATACCTTTTGATCTCAGAATATTGCTTGGAAACTCTTACTGACCTATCAAAAACCAGAGCCAAATCAGAGAGGCTTGGTGACTGTGTCAGGGCCGTTGGCTGTGAAGGTGATCTGAGTGCTTGTCCTCGTTCCCCTGCAGCTTTCTACTCAAGAGTTCATCAAGCTGTAGTCAGAAGGTAGACGGCACTCCTGAAATCATGATACATGATGAATAAGCCGATACTCCTGCATTTAGTGCAATCAATTACATGCAGAAGTGTTTTGAAATCCTGGCTTGGGTGCTGCAGGGGCTATAACTTCCGTGTGTTCTGTTGAGGACCAAACTGTGGAAAGTCTGTGCTAAGCATGATCAGTTTCAAAACCTGCAGCCTGTCATATGTAGACACAGACAGACAGCAAAACTTCGCACATTTTGGAGAATAGTTGAGATGATTATAGGTTTCCAAAGATAGAACTAAATTAGCAACATCCTATTTGTGTCAGGCATCAGAAAAAAATATGACCTTTATATTAAAACATATGGTGCTCTGAGTCACCGTCATTCAGTTTGCCTGTTTAATGTTTTATGGTATTGCCGCGTTTAAATAAGACTTCTGTCCCACACCTTACTTTATTCAGCTGTGAGTTCATAAAGTTGAATCAACTATTTCCATAGCAACAGTGTTGGTATAAACACAAACTTGAAAGTACAATTTCAGTAAGGAAAATATATTGAGATGGCAAAGTTTCTTTCATGTAGACATGCATTCAGGGGGCATAGAAATAACTTTTGCTTCTAGTTTTATTTTTTTCCAAGATCCCATTTTGCTTATGTTTACTATCTCACAGTTACTAGTTTTCTTTTATAGCAATCCCCTGATAAAATGCTACCTCTAAGAGTCGCTTTTAACTCTTTTGACTCACATAGTTTTTATTTTGTTGCTAGTAAAGTTTAGACTAAAATACCATCCTAGATATGTTTAAATTCCTTGTATGCAAGAGTAGTGAACAGTTAATTTTTTAAAAAGGCAGGTGTGGTGGCTCATCCCTGTAATCCCAGGGCTCTAGGAGGCAGAGGCAGGAGGATCCCAACTTCAAGCCCAGCCTGAGCAACTCAGTGAGACCCTATCTCAAAATAAAAATAAGAAAAAGAGTAAAATATAATTCAGTGTGAATCCCTGGGTTTAATTCATAGTACTGTCCCCCCAAAAAAGACCAAAATAGATTGTATTTTTCTTGTTTTTAAAGAAGATTTTATTGTATAGTTTTGGTAATGGTACTGGTACTCATAACTGAGGAGATATTAATATGTGAAGATCATGAATTATTTCAGAATTTTCTTTTAATATATCTTTTGGATCCAACTCTGTTAGTCAATACTACTGCTCATTTCTAGCTTTGGATATTTACTTTTTAAATTTGTTTTTCTTTTGACACAGGGTCTCACTATATAGTTCAGGCTTGCCTTGAATTCATTATGTCACCCAAGCAGCCTATTGAGTGCTGAGATTATGGGCAAGTACCACCATGCAGGGCTTTTGTTTTTGGTTTTTTGAGACAGGGTCTTGTTAGGCAATTTAGGCTGTCCTTGAACTTGGTATGTAGCCCAGGCTGGCCTCGAACTTGAGGTGATCCTCTTGCCTCAACCTCCTCAGCTGCTGGGATTACAAGCATGTGCCACCATGCCCAAATGATACTTACATTTAGATATCACCTTTCTGGAATCAGCTCACCTATTGCTATCTGAATGATTTAGGATGCTTTTGCCCCAAAGTAACAAAATACCCAATAATGGTGATTAAGCAGTAAACATGCTTATTATTCCCTAAGGCCAAGAGTAGCAAGTTATCAGCTAAGCATCATTAAAAGAACTGAGGTTTCTTACCTCTCTTTCCTCATCTTTGTGCCCTTTTTCTTGCAGTGCCAAGACGGCTGCCAGCCTGGCCATCTTTTCCCTTTGTCTCCAAAGACAGAAAGAAGAATTCCTTCTCGGGTGTGTCCTTTAGGACCAACCCTGTGTCCAGAACCCCCACACGCAGCCCCTCATGTCCTGTACCCCAGTTTAAATCATCTACCCCCATGCAAAGCTGCCAGAAAGGCTTCAGTAGTACGGTTAGCTGAGATTACAGAGGAAAAGGGGAGAGGAAAGGAGACACCGTTCTTAGGAAGTGGCCTGCTGATGGCCCCCACGTCAGGCATCTCTGGCATTAAGGTCTGGTTTCAGCAGCTCTTGATGGAGGGGAAGGCGGTGTACACATGCGGTTGCTTAGCTGTTTGGTGGGCGTTCCTGCTGCTTCTGTTTTGCATGCGTCTCTGACTGGAACAGCATTTCCTGCCACGTGGACTGGTGTGTGGTCTGCCTGATGTGGGCATGCTTCAGAGTATGTCTCTGTGGTGTCTCTTGCACCTTTTGACTTCATTTCCAGAAGACCACAGCCATCTTTCCCAGTCTGTTCCTATTTGGAAGTGGCGATCCAAGCACAGAGGAAAAGTAGGGCATTGGGGTAGTTTTGAGTTTTTCTACCCATTTTTTTGTTTTTTCCAAGCCTTGGAGCATCTTGTGATCTTGAACTCATGCACTTCTCCTGTGTACCTCTCTCCTGTTTCTCCACTGGCTTCCTCTCTGCCAGTGTCCGCAGGGCCTGGTCAGCAGCTGCTTTCCCTCGTGCTCCCCACAGCCTTGCTATTGAAAACTGGGGGAACAGAGAAAGTGAAAAGCAGCCCCCACGCAGTTACTGCTCTACTCAAACCATTTATTGCAAAGCGCCTTTCCAGTCTTTTCTTCCAGGGAGTGTGTTCTCATGCAGTGTGCTTGCAGTTGTCTGAATGACTTTTTCCTGGGAGTGACCTAGGGCTGCATTCACACAGCAAGAGTAGTGACAGCACAGACTGAGCTCTTGCTCTGTGCAAGGCCCAAGTCAGCACTGCACACGTGTGGTGTCAGCGTCCAGTTCTCACCAGAGCCCTGTGCGTTGGGCATAGGTACCTGGGCCATCTCTCTTACAGGTAAGGCCCAGGTGGGAGGTGCCTCACCCCAGACCACTCAGCTAGTGGGTGGTCTGTCTGAGGTCTCACCTCTTCACTTTGTACCCTATTGCAGTTCACTGAGGCAAGGGAAAGAGCAAGGAGCCAGCCAAAAGTGACATCACTGAAGAGGAAGAGCGTGATGGGGTCTTTTCAAGAAGGAGATGAAGGAAGAGTTTTAGTAATGACAGAGTAGAGCTGGCTAGAGTAGTAATTAGCAGTGACCAGTCCTTTTGGAAACAGTAGTTTCACTAGGGTCCTGACTTTAAATGCCAGGTGTCAAGAGGTTAGGGACAATGCAAATTCCAGAGAAGTCACACACACACACACGCACACACAGGCACACACGCATGCTATTCCTCTGCGATACTCTTCTTAGGAGTATTGCTGAACAGCTGAGTGTGGTGACACACACCTGTAATCCCAGCCCTCTGGGAGGCTGAGACAGAAGGATCACAAATTGGAGTCCAGTCTGGGCAACTTAGTGAGACCCTGTCTCAAAATAAAATTAATAAAGCGCTGGGAATGTAGCTCAGGGCAAAGCCCTGGATTCAATCCCTTGTACTGCTTTAAATTAAAACATAATGATCATTTTAAAAAAGCAAATTGCCTGTCTAACACACATACACAAAAGATAAATGTTGCTTAGCTTTTGTACTGCAGTGCTTCCATCCGGAAACTCAAGCCTTAGGTGGCCACTGTGTCACCACGTGCCAGGTACTCTGCTTTGTCCATCTCCTCGTTTCATCCTCACTGGACACTGCTGGGTCCAGTGTTTCCATGGGTGGCTGATAGGCCCTAAGGTAAGCTTGCCGGCCACCTCCTTCCGCACAGGGTGAGAGATAACCCCACTGGGTGACCACACTGGGTCATTCATCCCTACGTTGTACTTTGCAGCCAAGCAAAACTGAACAGGGGTTGTGGAGGCGACTCCTCCTATGATGGTTGGGATTTCTAGCTGCCTGGGTTGCAGAGCGCATCCGCCCTGCTGGAGCCCAGGAAGAATCGAAGGCAGTGAGGCCAGGCCACACTTTTCCCCAAAACTGCCATGTAGCAGGCTGCCCCTCACTTGAGCGATGTTCCATTGTTCCATTGCTGCTGTCAAACTTGTGGTGCCACTCTGACCAACATTTCATCTTTATGAAGATGAAATTTCTTCTATCAAGCAGATAATGTAAGAATGTACATATTCCCTTGATTATTCTTGATAATCCATGAACCATTGTTCAATTTTATCTATTGTATCTTTGTTTTCTATTTCATTAATCTCTTTTCCTATCTTTATTTTTTTCCATCTTTAGGATTACTCTGTTCCTTTCCTCATGTCTTAAATGGTGCAGTCCTGGCTTTTCATGGTAATAGGACCATAAGAATGATTATGCAAGTTGAAACAACGTATTCATCTTAATATTCAATGGAGAAAACTGTGTTTATATTTTGACCTTAAAAATACTTGTCAAAACTATTTAAAACTCTCTTTAAAATAAAACTTAAAAAAAATTTTAAACTCTATTATCATTTAAAATACTTAGGGAAATAAACAAATAATAAAATTGATATTTAATTATACACTATAATTTAGATCATTAGAAACATGAATTAGTGGTTTGGGCGATAGAAAAATTTATCAAGAAATTTTAATAACACCGTTTTCTTAGAGTGTGGAGTGAGCATTTGTCCTGTGCATTAGCAAATAGTCATATTCCTTTCCAGGTCTGAATCAGTCAAGACATTTCAGAAAAAATAAACCCAATTTTTCCTATTGTGCTCTCATGACACAAAACACTTCTGTGACCAAATGTTCTGGATTGGGGGTGGGGCCGCACCCCACAAGCAGTTCTGCAGCAGACACTAGCTGGGTGTCCTCGAATTCCATTCTACTCTGTCATTACCTCTGTGAAGATAGTGACAGATCCCAGTGGTTGAGGTCGATCCCACACGATGCTCTGTTTCAGAACCAGTTGCCAGTAGTAAGTTGTCACCCATGCTTTGCCCTGTCAGCTCTAAACTGGGATTTCCACCCTTTCTTCCTGGGGTTTGACTAACTTCCTAGAGCAGCTCACAGAACTCAGGGAAGCACTTATGACTGGTTAACTGTAAATGATTCTGGTGAAGAAATGATTAGGGCAAAGTTAAACAGAAAGGCTGAGGAGCTTCTGTGCTTTCCTGCGTGTGCCATCCTCCAGGAGCCTCTGCACGCTCAGCTCTCTAGAGGCTGCATAAATTTAGTCCATTGGGATTTTTTTAAAAGCCTCATTCCACAGCCATGATGGACTAAACCACTGGCCATTGTCCTGACAAGCAGCCCCTATCTTGAGTCTGTCCAGGAGCCCCCAGCTTTGGTCAGCTCATTAGCATATCAGAAGGCACTTATCACTCTAAATACTTTGGGAGCTGTATGTTAGGAAACAGCAAAGACCAAATACTTACTTCGTGGTGTCACAGGCAGCTTCCAGGGATTTCGATGCTATGAATTGTCTTCAAGAGTTCCTTAATGTGAAGAGAGTTTTTACTGCATTGCTCTCTTTGAAACATCTGCATCTTTGTCATCACAACCACTGTCTTCAGTGAGATTGATAAATTTGAGCCTCACTCTGTGACTGCACATCCAGTCTCTTAAACCGCAGCAGTGTCAGCATTCCCAGTCATCTGTCTTCCTAATACCATTGACTTTTGGCCCAGTATTACCACTGTTTGCTGCACTTTTAGTTTTCTTTTGCTGCAATTTTAGTTTTTCTGGCCGGTTTATCTTTCAGTTACTCATTTTTGTAACATGTCACCTGGATTAAGAACAACTACACACTTTGCTCTCTCTGTACATTCTGTTGCTGTCCTTAGACCAATACCACACTATCTTACTGCGAGGGCATAATAAGTCTTGGTATCTAGTAGTGAAGTCCTCTAGCCTTGCCTTTACTCAGGGTTGTTTTTTCTTCTGGTGGAGCTGAGGATGGAACCCAGAGCCTCGTGCATATGAGGCAAGGGCTGTAACACTGAGCATCCCCGGCCCTTGTCTTAGGTGTTCTAGAACCTTTCTGTTATATTTTAGAATCAGCTTATCAGTTTCTATTTTTAAAAAATATCCCAAGATTTTGACTGGGAATTCATGGATAATTAATATATTAATATTCAATAATCTGTGAAGATGGTATATTCTTTCATTTATGTGAGATTTAATTTCTGGGTTTGTTTGCTTGCTTGTTTGTTCATTTTTGAGGCAGGGTCTCACAGTGTAGTTTAGGCTGGTCCTGAACTCACTGTGTGTCACAGGCTGGCCTCAAACTTTTGGCAGTCCTCACTCCTCAGCCTCCCACGTGCTGGGATTAGAGACATGTGCCACCTCACCTGGCTTTAATTTCTGTGTTTTTAACTCTAGAAGCCTTGAACATTTTATAAACTCATCTTAGATATTTACGGTGGGTTTTTTTCTATCATAAATGATATTTTAAAATTTTTATTGTCTAATTGCTAGTTGCACTAAGTTTTTAATTTCAGTGACTCATTAGTGTAAATTCTATTTACTGTAGTTCTTTTTAAGTCTGCAAATTAATTCTGAACATATTTTTATACCAGTTTAAGGGACAATTTACATATAATTCACCATTTAAAGTACAGAGTTCAAGTTGGACATGTAGAATGCATAGCTTGTAGGCATACGGCCCTGGGCTTGATTCCCCAGCACCAAAATAAATATAGAGTTCACTGTTTACTGTGTTTACAAAGCTGTGCAAATATTACCACAGTCAGCTTTAGAATATTGTTGTCACCCCAGAAGGAAACTGTACCTTTAGCAGTCACTTCCTATTGAATTCCATCCCTGGCCATATGTAACAAGTAGCATACTTTCCACCCTATAAATTTATGCTGGACATTTGATATAAATGGAACAATACAATATGCAGTCTTTTGTGCTTGGCTACTTTCACTTAGTATAATGATTTTAAGGTTTATTTATATTGTAGTGTCTCAGTACTTCATTTCTTTTCCTGGATAAGTAATATACTCTTACTCAAATTGTGCATCCATCATCTGAAAATTTGTAGCTTTTTGAGAGTCAACATGACTCCACAGGAGGAAGGTCCACACCAGACCTCATGGGGTGGGTTACAGTGAAAATGTAGGTGCATTAAATAGACTATACAAGGTGGACCTCAGGCTACATTCATAAGGTGTATATGCAACAAATGAATTGCACGTTTAGACATGGGTTGCATCCCCAAGATACCCCTTTATGTCTGTGCAAATATTCCAAAATTTGGAGTCCAGAACACGTCTGGTCCCAAGCATTTCAGGTAGAAGATAAACAACCTGTATAGATTTTGACATTTTTTATTTATCCATTTACTAGTTGAAGGACATTTGGGTTGTTTCCACTTTTTAATTATTAGAACTAATGCTATGAACATTCATGTACAGATTTTGTGTACACACATTTTTCCTTCCCTTGGTTGAATATTTAACAGTAGAATTTCTGACTTCTATAGTAAGTCAAAATTAAACCGTTCCTTAGAGGATCTGTCTGACTTATAAAATATGCCATTTTATATTCCCACGAGTAATGTATGAAGATTTCAGTTTCTCAACAACCTGGCCAACACTTGCTATTGCCTAAAGTTTTGTCCTGTGGTACTGGCGATTGAACCCAGGGCCTTGCAAATGCCAGGCAAGTGCCGTACCACTGAGCTACATCCCCAGCCCTTTTTTACATTTGTTTTGTTTTTTACTGTAGCTCTCCAAGTGAATGTGAAGTGGTATCTCATTTTGGTTTTCATTCTCATTTCTCTTGTGACTAGCATCTTCTCACATTTTTACTGGCCATTCATATTTCATCTGTGGAACAAGTTCTCTTCAGATCTTTTGCTCATTTTAAATTCTGTTATCCTTTTATCGTTGAGTTTGCAAGTTTTTGATAAAGTTTTCTTTTTTGTCTTTATCATTTATGTAGTAACTCCATTGTGTGAAGTTCTTGAGAGTCTAATTCTGCTGATGCTATTATTGGGTCTCTTTGGTCTCATTCATGAAGGATATTTTCTCTGAGAATTTTAAATCATCTTTTTGTTCTCTCTCATGTGTGGATAGTGTAGCAGTTTTGCTATTGGAAATCACCAAGAAATGAAAAGGAGAAAAGCCATCGCTAGGAGAGCTTCTATGGTCCCCAGATAAATAATGTAATTTATTTCTTTCAAAGAAATAAGCACTGTAATGCAAATATACAAAGTTTGAAAGTTACTGCAATTATCTAAAATGTAATAGTGGCAAATTTATCTGTTATTCTCCCAGACATACATTTCATCTTCCCAAGACCTCAATTCTTTTTTTCCTCTTTGT